GCCTGCTGGCCTGCAATCCATAGACAAAGGTGAAGAGACTGCCGTTAGTGGAGAACTTGTGTGGATGCTCTATAAAGTCTGGGAAAAGTCACACCTCTCACGGTTGGCTTGATCAATGAGAAAGTTGTAATTTTAAAAGAAAGCTGGAAAATTCTTCTGTTGGGAGGTTTCATGGCCCTTTGTCTGCAAGCATGGTTAGAATGGTTCTGGTAGTCTGTGTCTATTTATACTCTGATTAATATAACAAACACATGCTGCATTCTATGAGGAGGTGATGTACACCAAAGTGTGAGTCATTAAATGAGCATTTATTCAATAGGAGACACAATAATGTAAGGTAACGCTGAGTAGTACTATCATAAAACAGTATACAATACAACAGACAATGGAGAGAAGTCCTTTATGTCACAGCCTTTATGTGTATGTCCTATGGACTTATTAAAAGTGAGTTCAGAGCAAAAGCTCTGCATTCCTGGTTGTAAATCGTTCCTGCCTGGGAGTTAGCTGTAGGTGGGGGTCACTACTTACAACCTTACACAGTTTGTTGGGAAAGGGGTTTGAAAGATTATTTGTTAAAGTCTGTGTAAAGTCAATTCTGAGAATTGTTTTTAACCACATTATAAATGTTATAAATGCATTGCTGAAACATATTACAAAGACTGTGAACTATGTAGTACTTAATTGTGCAGTTGGACTGTTAAACAGTTTTTCACCATTTTCATGTTTTTTTTGGGCAGGGCCGAAATCATGACTTGATGACAGTGGAGTCACTGAGCATGGCCCCTCCTCTAACACTATAAGAGGTGTGTTCAACTTGAAGCAGCGCTGCGCGGCCATAGACCAATCGGTGTGTGACATCAAATACAGTGAGTGTTGTAAAGAGCAGACGGCTCCGCTTTCTAATTGCTCTTACAGTACTTTGATGTCATACACTGATCGTACTGCGCAGTGCTGCTTCAAGTCGAACACATCTAATAACTAGTGCGCATTAACATCAGTGGTTAGCCTCGCTCAATCGCGAGTTACTGGCATTACCTTTAGTTAGTACAGCCTACAGTTTGCTAGCTAACTATGCCATCGTCATGAAAATGAATAATACCTGGTTGCGATAATTCACAAAACATCTCGCTCTCATTATTTAAATTAAGTTGACAGTTGAAAGAGATGGCAGCTTTTCCGCGAGTGGGTGTGGTTTCAGCCCCACCAGTGGACACGCCCCTAGCATTTGAGAGCAGAGAATACTGCTTATTTTTTTCAAGATTTGAATACCTTATTTTATTTGTTTGGCGGTTTTTTACCATTCAAATTTGGCTTTTCAAAAGTGGTTAACACATTTTTCTTTGGTGTGAAACTCAGAACACATTAATATTACTTTACACGGACTCTAAATATAACAAATAATTGTGTGTCTGACTGGTTTGTTTGTTTCAATTAATTATTAAATATAAAAATATAAGCATAAAAATAAGAGAAATGTGAAGGGAAAGACATAAAAGTAAACCGTGCTGTAATATTAGAAAGACTACAATTGCTTTGATGCATGTTTAAAAAGGTTGTCTTAAAATAAAATTGGTAATTATTATATTTTTTCTCATCTATTTAACTGAGAATTCTTCAAGGTGGCAAAGAGAATTTACAAAGGGACCAAATTGTTATTCTTTATTAAGTTTCTCATATTTGTTGTTTCCAAAATATTTTAGTTTGGCTTGACACAACTTGCATATAGTGTGGCTCTTGTCCAGGGTCTTTCCCCCTTCAACTTCATAGAAGCCAAAGTGCTTCCATAAGATAGCTTTTAACGCTGATGCTGCCGGTCTGATTTCACTGCTTTTTCTGCTGCCTTCTCAAACTTTTGCTGCAGCAGAATTGTTTATTCCTGCCTTGTAAATGCAATTACATTTATTACATTTTTAATAACGACATCTCTTAATCAGAAGAAAAGTGAATTGCACCGACTCTCGCGAGAAGTGAATTCAACTGCAGCTTTCGTGTGATTGGCTGTTTGCTGCACATGTCACACTTTCAGATGCATGCGCTCCAGAGTTAATCACAAACTCTGGTTCAAACTCAGAGTTGTCAGAGAATGTTTATATAGCTTTTTGAGCCCGCTGATTCTGATCTAAACCAGGTTGGCTTTATCGGGTTTTGTCAACTCAAAACTTACTCCGCAACTCTGAGTTTGTTCATCTTGCTTCGTACTACAGGCCACAGGAGTCAAAGTTGTTTAATCTGTTATCAGAGTTTACTAAAGGCAGAGTTCTCAAAATCCCCTTAAAGTATAGTCTTTTTCTCATTCAATCTCAAAATGCACCGCGATAACGAATGTAAAACAGAGGAACAGCCGATGGTTAGAGAATACACATAATGTACAGTGAGGGACGCGCCGCATAAATTCCCGCGTCTGACCAAAAGATGGCATCCGAGTCCATCCAAGCTTTTTTTTAAAACACCTTACAGAAAGGTTCATTAGTTAATATTAGTTAACTACTTAACTAGGAAATACTTCTACAGCATTTATTAATCTTAGTTAATGTTAATTTCAACATTTACTAATGCATTAAAATCATCTTTAACATTATGCACTGTGAATTGAACTAACAGAATGACTGTATTTTCATTAACTAACATTAACAAAGATGAATAAATACTGTAATAAACGT